GCTCTTTCTGCCCTGGGGACCGATACACCTGGTACAAATAGGCGGCAGTGTCCAAAACTGTCGATCAGGCACCTCTGACGAGCACGAAACTGATTTTTATGTAAGCGAAGTTAAAAATGCAAATGCTGCCCCGGTGAGCGAGCCAGCCTCCCCTCCTCCAGCATGAATTTGCTCTTGCCTTGCAGCCCATTCATGATGTTACTTGAAGCAGGATTTAACAAACAGTGAGGATGTTGATACTCCATGCCAGGCGATGTTAAGCAATTTATAAAGATCAAATTAAGTTAATATGAATTTGACTTACACCATTATGCTAATGATCCATTAATTAACAGGGGGAAGCACTATAGTTGGTCTTGATTAATATGAATCAGTTTGCATATTCTGGCTGTATTTTTCTTTTCCAAATTCTGAAACATTCATAACTGGGTGGTTTGTGCTACAGGGCTGGCCGGCCGTGGTTGCGTGCAGCTCATTGGCTCTGGAACTGGCAGTAGACACGCCAGCCCACTGGGAAAATGGCCTCTACATGCTGCAGCGGGGTTGTTTTAATTTAATAAACCTTTTGTTTCAGCAGCAACACGTTAATAACTCCTAACCCCAGCAGTACAGACTTGCTGTCTGCCATCTGGAATCCAGTGTGGGGAAAGCTCAGAGAAGTAGATGGGAGGCAGGCGACACTTTTGACATGCAAAAAGTCATTCCAGCCTTGCAGGGTGGGCGTAGATGAGTGGGCTCTTTCATGCCCCGATTCAGGAAAGTGCTTAAGCGCGTGCTTAACTTGACCATGCACCTAGGGTTTTTTCTGGATAGACAAGTGAGGGCTTCAGTGAGCTTGCGGGATTCAGACCAAATCGCTGTGTATCCAGCCTAGCAAGGGTGCTGTGAACATCCCCTCTCCCCATAGCCAGGAGGCTCCAAGTGCATTGAGCAAGTTCACATAGAGAGGAGACAGCCGAATGTTTGCATTCACTTGCAGGCTGGTGTTAGCTGCCATCTCCAAGATGCTACAAAGTGCTCTGGAGCAGCTAATGAGTGGGAGGGGGCAGTCCCATGAAGAGAGACCTTGGTGGAATAATCATGATTTCCCATGTAAGATTTTGGACCATTGATGAGAATGACACCAACTTGGGGCACTGCCTATGACCTATGGGCCCCGTGTCCTTTCCAGCAGATGGGGGGAGAGCATGGAGCCGTTTGCCAGAGTAGGAAACCTAGAGAGCATTTCAGTTTGCATCGCTTGTATGGATTTGGAGATTGGAGGTGGGGGGCGGGATTTGCACTGTTATCAGGCAATCAGCACCTCTGACCCTCCTCAGCTCGTGGAGTGCCCCTGCCCCCAGCCTCGAGGCATCACCTGGCTTGGGCGGAATCACGTGGTTTTGCCATTCGCAGACTGGGCCCTGCCTGGCATTCCCTTGGTACTAACCAGGCTTGCCTCGGCAGATCTGACTTGGGTCGTATCCTGCAGTCTGTTCCCTCCCGGGTGATGACAGTGATAACCGGTGAACTGACCCCCTCCTTAAGGCAAAGTATAATTTACTAGAACAAAAGCATGTCAGAGAAAACAGGTCTTAAAAGCAATAAACCAACCTCTACGCATATCTGCCTCTCCCTGAGGCTTACCCTTCCCTGGGTCTGGAAAGCCCAATCTCCCAGGGAGGGCTGACAGCTTGTCTTCCTGTTAGAACTCATTGACCCATCTTCTCCAGAGAAGAGCTTTTTAACTCTTTACTGTCCTTTGCTCTCTAGTTCCCAGCCTGGCAAGCCAGCTGTGCCCTTCGGCCTGGAAGTAGGCCATTGCCTTGTAACTGCCACCCACAGTGCTTGGTGGGAGGTTGCTTATCCGGGGAGAATATGTGCTTGCGTTTCTGTTTGTTCTTCTTCTTAAGCTAGATCAACACATTCATACAGGAAATTCTTATTGTCCAGTACAGAAGAACTTCCCCTCGCTGACTTGGTCACACTCACTGTTCATAAACCTGGTACATCTCCGTACCCTTATTGTTACATAGCAGCTCCTTCGGCATTAATAATTTTATTGCATCTTTGCTGCACTTGCAGCACTGGGGCGAAGTCTCCTGAGACCGGCATGAAGTGCGCTTAGCAGAGTCAGTGTACTGAACCCCGAGTGTGTGCTTGTTCTGAACATAACCCTTGTATTCCGCTTCTAAAAGCCACTGAAATGCTCTGCCTTTGGGAGCGAGGGGGAAAGACTGAATAATTGCTACGTTTGGGCATTAAAACAGGAAAAATACTCTCTGCGGGAGGGTGTTTGCTGTGCAGGGCTTGGGTCGCAGGCTGAGAACCACCACGTGCATCTTTTAGGATCGCCAGGGCCCTGACAATGTGCCCTCTTTTAATCTAATTTTTACTGTCCCAAGAAGCCGACAGAGTGTTTGAAGTTCTGTCCAGAGTCCGCAGTCTTCTCTCCAAATTCTGCAGGAGCAGGGAACTGCCTAATAGCCAGCACGTGTGTCAAGCTGGATTAGCAGTGCTTGGCTGAAACTGGGCAAGAGTTGTCAGTTCTGGTCTTGCTCTGCTGGAGGCGGAAGGGTGTCCCATGGGATAGGAGAGGAGGGTGTCGTCGGCAGCCCCACTGTCAGGGCGGGTGATCTGACTGGAGCTGGCCTGTGTCATTTTCTTGTCAATCTTGTGTCTGGGAAAGCACAGCCAAGTGCTTTATATTTTGCAGACGGAGCTCTCAGACACTGAGAAAACTGGCTGCATGTGAGCCCGGAGCATGGTGTTTGAGTCTGTCCGTACAGCTCTGGGTCAGAAGGATGGTCTTGACTGTGTCTGCAAATCACTGAAGGGAGGTCCCTGCCCTGCTGCTGGCAGAGTGGCTGCGTGAGCTGCCTGCTTTCTGGCGTGTGGTGCCCTCGTAAAGGTCGGGGTGGCTGCCGTTAATTCTGGCTGGAGGAGGCAGGTGTGTTAAGAGGGGATGTGGTTTTGCAGCCAGCCTCCTCCCTATGCCAGGGTGAGTGGTTGGGGGCGCCGTGCCTGCAAAAGGCTGTTTGAACTTGTGTGGCTGATGGGGAGTCCCTAGTGTATGACTTTTGTGTAATCGTCGTTCGATAACAGGAGCCGCAGAGAGACCAGCATGGCATTTCAGCTGCTCAGCAGTGGTTTGATTGGCTGATGAATGTGGGAGCTTAGTGTGGGGGATGGAGAGGGAGGTTGCTACCAGCAGACTGATGCTGCAAAACTTGTACAGGAGTTCCTCTGGGTAAACACAAAACCACCCCAGTAAGTATCATGGAGCTTAGTACGATGCAAAGCCTCCTCGGTCTCACCTGTCTGCCTGATCCTCCGCAATGCTGCATGCGCACAGCTCCATTGCCTTCAGCTGGAGTTGGGGGGCTGAGCACCCATGGAAACCAGGCTCTCGGATGAGGAGAAGTCTGCCTTTCTCCTCACTCTCTCCACTCAAGGAGGATTTAGCAGGGGCTTTGCACCTGGACACACACTGCTTCCCTCTGACCAGGCAGGGATGGTGAAATCCCACATTGACGGGATGGAGCAGTGGCTAATGCCCTTGAATCTGTGTGTGGGGAGCTTGAGAACGATCGAGGGAGCTCTGGTGCTTGGGAAGCAAGGGAGAGGGAAACTCCTGCATGAGTGACTCAGAACTGAACTGAACTTTAAAGACCCTGGAAGCAAATGTTGGAGAAAGGGCAGATGCTTGTTTGCCTGCATTGTGGCTGATGGCAGCAGGATCGCTGCCCTCTAACCTCTGCCAGCTGCAGCCCTGGTCAGTGCTGCTCTCGGCGAGACTGGTATTGCTGGAGGTAGTTGGGGTGGGCTGCGTCACTGTCCTGCGTGAATTACGCTGGGGACGCTGAGCTACTAGTGCAAGGCGTGAAAGACTCTCCTGCTCCGTTTGCATGCAAGCCGCTATCTCGGTGCCCGCTGCACTGGCGGGGGAACTGGGAATCTCCCCTGGGGCACATCTCCCACTGCTCCTGTTCTTCATAGTTCTTGTCCCTTCTGGGTTCTCTGGACCCTGCTGCTTGTTCCCTTCATCCTCCTGATGACCTCATAAGCCTTCCCCTGAGACTAGCGATGATGTCACAAGTCGGATGGTGACATCAGGGCAGTGCCCCTGCATCAAGCAACGTGTGTGCCAAGGGGGTCTGGAAACTGGGCCCAAGCTGAGGCAGCTGCAGACAGAGGCTTTGTTCTCTGAGGGGCGCTGCAGGCTTGGAACTGAGTGTGCCCCACTTGGCAAGGCTGCTCTGGGCTTTGGGCTCTCGTATGGATTTGACAGGAGCAGGTTGCCAGGTGCCTGGAGGCTTTCACAGGTTGCTGAGCAAAGCTGAGAAGGCCAGTTAGCAGGGCCCCTCTTCCAGACTCACCCCACCCCAAGCGGTGGTTACCCAGTTGGATCAGGTGCACGAAGGCCTGTTTTGGTGTTAACAGAGATGCTGAGCGCTCAGGAGTGTCCCGGCACCAGACAGTGGCTGATGCAGAGAGTGACGGAGAATGCCGGCTGGACCGTGACACTCCCTGAGCAAGGCCCTGATGTGGCAGCTGTAAGAACCGCCCTCCAAACGCAACACCCAGCAGTGCAGGCAGGGCCTTCAGAGCAGCTGTGTGTGCTGGGTACTGGGGCCTCCCAGGTGTCCCTGCCCTCCGCTTCCTGGAGAAGGGAAGACAGGGTTGGGATGCTCAGCTTGAATGCTGAGGACTTGCCCAACCCTATGGAGGCTTCTGGGTTGCGGGGCTGTGTAGGGCTCCATTTGGAGCCTGCCCAGAGCAGTTATCCGCCAGCCCAGGGACCAGGAGCTGGGTCTGCTGAAAAGCAGTGCCTAGGGCTAGCCCCGGGCCAGATCTCCACAGCATTCTGCCAGCCAGCCGGCCTGGGGCTCCAACCTGGGCCGCTTTTTGTGCAGAGCACAGCACTAACCTCTGCGTCCCACACAGGCCCTGAGTCGATGGGACGGGCCAGTCTGGGGGCCGTGCTGAGTAACTAACGCACTGGGGTTTTGATGTCCCAGGTGGTGAGCTTTGCCAGCCTGAAGTCTGACGTGTCCTACAACTGGATGGTGGTGTGTGTTCTCTGGTGCTCGGTCATCCAGTCCCTGCTCCTTCCCCTCTTCCTCTGGGCCTGTGATCGCTACCGAGCAGACGTAAGATCCATCTGGGAGAAGTGCGTGGCCATCATGTCCAACGACGACGCAGATGAAGGTGAGAGCGAGCATGTGCTGACACGTGATGCATGCCCTGGGTAGCTGCCTGGGCCAGCCTGTGTCCGCCACACTACCCCTCCCTGGGGTGCTTGTCCCGTGTCTGCAGAGCAGCGGGCTGTGCCAGTCACAATGCACCCTCTGTGTTTTAACATGGGGGTAGAGAGGGCTGAGCGATGGGCAATGAAGTGGCTGCAAATGCCAAAGCCAGACATAACTAAGATGATTCCAAGCATGGTGGTGGGCAAGCGGGTCACTTGCCAGGAGTCTCCTCCTGTCTGGAGTTACCAGGCACCCACATGTCATTAAGTGTCACTGCGCCACATTCTTCCGCCCTCCCGCGGGTAGGGTTGGCGCACAAGTGGGGGTGCAGCCTGGGTGGGCATGGCAGCCCTCCATGATGCCAGCGGTGGCTCTAGTGGGGCACTGTACCCATCCCTGAATGGGCGCTCCTTAGTGATGCATGTTCTGAAACCACCCCATCCTTCGCCACTATAGCTGCCGGGCTCTGCAGTCACGAGTGTCTCCGTGCAGTCCTGCTGCCCTCTAAAGCCCATCCCGTGTGCAGCCCTGGGGCGTGAGTCCCTTCCCTCAGCCTCATCTCTGTCCCTCCAGGAGAGGCGCGTGGGATTGGGCTGGAAATTCATTTTAATTTTTCCCTGAGCGAACCAGCGACCCTGGCTCCTCGGGCTAAGAACAGTCGATGACGTAGCCCCCTGGGTATCGCTGGAGAATCTCCTGCCTAGACCCCACTAGCAGAGCTCTGCCCACCAGAGCACCACGTCTCCCTCCTGGGTCTCAATTGCACGTGCTAATTTCTGTTCCAAACTAATTCTGACACCAACCCCTTGCAGAGACGAGCCTGGATGGTGCAATTCACACCGACCTGATGTATGAGAGGCCTTACGACTATAACTACGGCGGGGACATCTTAGCGCTGGAGCACATTGCCAAGTACGACTTCTCAGCACTAGAGAGAGGAATCCCTCAGGTGTACCCTGTGCGATCGGTGCAGGAGAACAAAATGCAGTATCTGCAGGTAATGGGCTCCGGGATGGGCAGCAGCCTTCCCCTCCAAGCAGTCTTGGGACATGCTCTTGGAAAGACAAAGTGCCTACAAAGCAATAAAAAAAAGTGTGAATCGCTTGGCTGTGGCTCAGCATTCCAGGTGCAATGGGGGCCTGCAGTGCTGGCAGGTGTGTCCGGGCACATTCAGCTCACTCCTGTTGGACAGTCCATGTCTGTCCGGTTTGGGAATGTACCTTGCCTGCTATCGAGTGTCCCGACAGAGAGCACTGGCTTGCCTGCCCTGTGTCCCAGGCACAGCCAGGAAGAGCCCAGTGGGTGCTGTGTTGATGAGCACGTCTTACCAGTCCATGGATTTCGGTGGAAAGTTAGTGGGTGAAGGCAGCGCAGCAAAGGATGAGCAGGAGACAGGTGAAAGCGAGCAAAGTAACTTTATAAAAGATGGACTGGCCTTTACTGGAGCCGTTTAAAGTCCCTGGGCAAAGTAACTGTCCCTTGGCTCGCTGACCCCTAGGTGAGACCTTGCTTGACCTTTGCTTAGGCTGCTTTGCTGTTGTATGCTCTCACATTGATCAGAGACCTTGTAAGATGCAAACCTCCCCTCCCCCACTTTATTCTGTTTGTATTTTTTTTTAGTATACTTGATTATAGTGCTGACCACACCGAAGGAGGGCAGCCCTGAGGAATTAAACAATTGACAAGTAATAATTCATTTATTGGAAGTTTTTATAAACATTAATTACAAACCTGCCAGAATGTGTCACATTCTGATTGGTGGAAAATCAGTCAGGATTTGCTAGGGCATGACCGATTTTCACAGCTGTCCCATTGCACTCCGGCTGCTCCACACAATCACTTGTAAGAAAAGGTTTAATGTTGGTCAGGAGTTCAGCCTGGAGTACGTCAATTCACTCTGCTCGTCCAATTTTGAAGGATATGTGGAGTTTCCTTGTAAATGTCAAATTAACTTTTGGACTTTGCTTGCACCAATCAGGCTGCGCACACTTTGGGGTCTCGGCCCAAGAACAGCTGGCTGGAGCTCCCCTTGTGGCATGCTCCTGACTTTTCTGAAATGGAGCTCACACCACCAGCGTACAGCACACTCTGAATCTGTCCACAGCAGATTTGCTGTGATTCCAGACTCTGCCTTTAAAACAGCAAAGTACATTGGGCAAGATGAGGCCTTGTCCAAATGACACACCTCTAGACTGTCTTTTATTGCATGCAAAACAGCTTGAGAGAGGGTCCTACAAAAGGCTGTGTGTAATCGACTTGCTCTGTATTTTACTGCCTGCTTCTGAGACCCGGTGGAACCGACAGATGTCAGCATTATTCCCTCAGAATCACTTTGCGGTAGCATCAACACCCCAAACCTGTGTTGAGTCCTAAAACTTTACAGGCTTACTTAAAATTGGAGCAGCTGCGAATACAAGAAGTTGGGCAGACAGGTTCACTGCTCTTGTGTGCGCCTGTTCTGTTTCCACTTTCTCTATTTCCCAGCAATCAGTTATTCATTTGCACTGCAGTAGTCCCTCTGAGACCTGTACCCACTGGGCCAGGCACTGTTCACACACAGCCCCAAAGAACGTATCATCCCAACAGACCCAGGGCGGGAGGGGAACGCAGACCAGAGAGGAGAAACATTTTGCCCCAGGTCAAACAGAGAGCTAGCATTGGAGCCAGGAGCAGAGCCCAGGTTTCTTGAGTCCCTGTCCAGTGTCCTGTCCATCGCGCCATCCCGCCCCTGTGCAGCGTGGGAGATCACGCCATAGCACAGTGACTCAGCAGGGGCCAGCGGGAAGCACGGGGCTTTCGAACGGGATGTTCTTCTCAGCCTTAGCTTCAGTCATGGTGCCACCAGCAGGGCACTGGCGGCAGCTCTGGGGACCCTTTGGAACCTCTCCCCAGGGGTTAGACCCTCCCTGTGCCACCCGCATGGAAAATTCTTGAGGAAGCACCATAGATGCTCAACGCGTCTCTGCGCTGAGACTTGCTGAGAGCACTGCTTGGCCCTCAGCTGCGTCCAGCTTGCCCAGGCCTCCGGCAGGAGCACCAGGCAGTCAGGACTTTCTCTGATCTGTTTGTATCCAGCAGCAAGTCATTGACATGCCGTGAATGTTTTGTTTGATGTGATTCCGTAGCTCTGACGACGAAGCTCCCAGGCCAGGCGGGGAAGGCTGACCTGTGGTGTTGCTTTCTCCCCTCTTCTCTAGGTCCCGCCTCTGAGGCGTTATTCTCACGATGAAACGGACATTTGGACTACGGGCCAGATTTCAGCCTACCTCCAGCGCTGGGGGGCAGGCGAGGACGCGGCCGGGCTGGCCCACCTCCTCATCCCGCGGCATGCACGGAGGAGGAGCAGCCTGACCTCCTACCACGAGGAGCGGCTCCCCTACCGCAAGCGCCGGAAGTCTGCTGAGAGCGTCATCTCACTCAAGCCGCTCTCCCGCGAGGACCTGTACAAGTGCTTCAGCAAGGAGGAAGTGGTGAACTTCATTGACGAGAGCCCCCTGGCCAGCCCCAGGAAAAGCCCCATGCGCTCGTCTTCCGTCTCCCTCCTCCCTGAGGCTTTTCCGCCCCAGGCCAGCGTGCGCTCCAACTTCCCTCTGACCGACTTTGAGCGGGAGCCTCAGGTGCTGCGCAGGTTCTCGGCGCAGGGGAAGGGCTGCAGCCTCACTGTGCCCAGGCCTCTGCGCGCCCAGGAGGACCCCAGGTGCCTCTTTCCTGGGGGAAACAGAGACCTCTGCAGGGGACAAACTCCCTTCGAACGAGGGGAGGCCCAGGCACTGGACAGCCGCCCAGCAAGCAGCAGCTGCTCCGAGTCAGGGGGATTTCGGACGAGTTTGAGCATCTCCTGGGGGGAGCAGGAAAATCTACAGAAAGGTGGGAGCAAAGGAAGCACCACTAGCTTTTTAAGCTCCCCTTCTGCTTCGTCTGGGTATATAACATTTCATTCCGACTCCATCGGCTCAGCCTCCTAGGGCCCCAGCGCCATCTCTGCCGTGGGTGCTGGTTTTCTGCGGCTTTCCTGACGTCGGTCAAAGATGGGGTCTTGGTTTAGTAACGGGAGCTAGGCAAAGCACCAAAGAAATCCGATGTCGTTCTCATGCATGAAAAAAGGGAGGCAGAGAGACTTGCTAGAGGAAGGTCTGATCTGAGGACGGTGTAAAAATGTTTGCAATTCCTACTCAGGTGGACAAAGCCACAGCACAGTCCTTCCAGACCCTTTCCATGTGCGGAGGGCAGGGGCGCCCGGGGTGGTGGGATCAGCGCGGGTGCTGCAGCCCAGAGCGAATGCTCTGCTTTATCCCGGGCAGCAGGATTGCGCTGCCTGCAAAAGGCTGGTGGGGGTTTAGCGGAGCCCCACAGTCTCTCCTGGTGTTTGTTAGTAGCTGTAACACAGGCAGCATGTCTCCTCCAGTGATCGCTAACACGCGGTACCCTCCTCTTCAGGCTGGGGTGGAAAGCTGGGCTCGTGTTTCCGTTAGAGACGAAGAAGGGTGTTTCTCGTTTTAGTCAGAGCGGCTGGCTCGCCAGGCGAGGCAGCCTTATCTCCAAGGCACGGTAGCCTGACACGACAGTGCCTAATCGCGCGGGGCTGGTGTGTGGGTGTGTCGCTCATCCAGGACCGGGCTCCCTCTCTCTCTGGGGAAAGGGGGTTGAACCGTGCGACCGGGCCCGTGTTCGTGCTCTGGGAGCAGGCTGCGCGCTGGGGTAGTCCCGAGTGTAGTGGATGACAGTCCGCTGGAACATGGGGCTCAGCATGTGGCAGGTAAGAAAACACTCGGCTGCTGCTGTTGCTGCCGCGTGTTGTGCGTCTGGGCCGCCGCAAAGCGTCCAGGCTGCTCCAGGCCTCCCGAGCCGAGCCAACACATTCCGTTTTGACATTTAGAAAAAATTAGGGTGTTTTTTTCTTCCCCTTATTGATGTGAGTAAAAACAAGACCCAGCCAGAGATTGCTCTGGGGTGACAAACTCAGCCTCACCCTCCCCCCCCCCCCCGGCATTTGAGGGCAAGGCCTTTCTGAGGGCAGAAGAATGGGGTGTGTTTAGCAGGGAACATTGATACACTCGGCAGAATGCAGGCACTGAAAAGCTTTTGTCGCCAGCGAGAGGCTGAGTTAATCGCCCACAAAACCAGTGTCTCTCTTGTGTCCTTTCTCGGCACTGTCTGTGAGCCACAGAGAGGTGGGTCAGGAGGGAAGAAGAGGTGACATTTCCATTTCAATGGCATCTCTGTTAACCTGCTGCTCTGCTACAATGCAGCTAACGCGGAGGAGTCAGGATCACTGTGTTCTGCCTGGAGAAATATTAGCGAGAGAATTTGGGGGGGGCCGGGGGCGGAGACTTTCTGTGAGCTCCTTTGTTTTACTAGGACTCTCTCTAGTGGGGAGACGTAGTGACCCTTACGAATGTCTACGTGCTGCTTTTTGAGCACGTGTGGGTTCATGTGTGTCCACTGTCTGGCACAGGGGAAGGGAACTAATAGCCTCGAACTAAGCTGCGAAGCATAGAGAGCCCAGGGCCCGGCAAGGGGAAAGGGGCTCAGTATTCTGTAATACTCCAACCCTCATTATTATTTTTTCTAAATTCTGTGAATTAAATTTTATACCTGATTTCTCTAGGGGAAAAAGAAGGAGAAGATTGGTACCTGCTCAGCTCATGACACTGGCTCCAGTGGACCAAGAGCAGAGGCCACCTTTAATACAGGTTAAGTGAAGTGGGCCCAGTTTTCTGGATTCTGTAGTGGCCGGTTACTATAGACAGATCTGTGATTCGCTTAGTACATCTTCATAACTCACTGCCGAGGCTGAGAGTCGTAGCTCCTAGAGTGAGACTGCTCACGGGGTTCTGCCCCAGCCCGAGGATCCATGTGTTGCGCGGGCTCACACGAGGCTCCATTGCTCTTGTGCGTTCACTCAGATCTCGGTCTTGTTGCTCTAGAACTGCATGAGACTGGAGAATTGGTGCCTCTGCTCCTTTGGGTTCATGGTGTGAAATCCCGCTAACTTGTGCCCTGTGGTTTCACGGCTGATACAGACACAAGCTAAAGGTAAAGTGGCAGGTTCACTCTGTGGAGCTAATTTCTGTGTCCTTAAAACTATAACAAGCAATGTTTGAAGTGCAAAAAAACAAAGCTGGTGATGACTGGTATACCCCTCCGCCCCCACATGCCTCTTCTTCTCCAACTGCAGCAATCAGAAGCATGGGTCTGGCATTGCCATTTCTGTTCCCTTCCCAGCCACAGTCCGAACGCTGTTAATAGGGGGAACTGAGCCTCGACAATGGATCTCTGCTTTGACTTTTCCACTTGAACACGGGTACCACAGTGGCAGGCCACTCTGCACTGATTGTGTATCCAACGCTTGCAATGCATATGTCCCTGCACTGCCAAGCTGGCTGCTAGCTCCTGGAACCAGTGCAGAGCTGTGGAAGGCTTCGCTGCCCTGCACTGCAGTTCATAACTGGGATACAATTTAGGCTAATAGGAAAAAACCCCTATTACAGGCAGAGAGAAAACGGAAACATTCATTGATTATTTCCCCAAGCCCCTCCAATGCCCTGGAAAATACTGAGAGTTGCCCATGCAAAGAGTCTAGTTTGCTCCTCCCATCACAGCCAAAATGCACCTGCTACAGTAGCACCCTTTCCTGTTACGTGCATCAGCTGATGGCAGAGTAGGGGGAGAGGCTGGCTTTCTGCTGGTTCTCATCTTGTTTCCTTTTCCAGTTGGCTTGCACCTCTGATACAGATATTTCTGGCCATCAGTTAATCCACCCACCAAACTGACTTCCACCCTCCAGGCTGTTGCTCCTGTTTCTCTCGCTGTAACCCCCCTCTCTTCTTCAACTCCTGGGTGCAGGCTGGGCTGAGAGTTACAGCGTCTGGCTTACAAAGAGTTTCAATTCTTCTCTGTTGCTTCCCTCAGCATGGGCTTCTTGAAATCTGTGTTTGCGCGACACACACTCCCTGGCAGTGCTTAGCACATCACTCGCTCCTAAGGAGCCAGAGTGCTTTGCAAACAGACGTGAATTGGGCCATTTTACTGATGGGGAGGTAGAGTCCTTGTCTGTGTCCAGACTGCTTATGGTGCAGCATGGCTTCCCCTGGGATTGGGTGAGCTCTGATGTAAGGACTGGGCCCCTGCCCTGCACCTGCTTGTGTGGACCCTTTTATTTCAGTTCAGTAGTAGCTTATTCCAGTTTAGTTTAACCCTCTTCCTAGTCAATTTCAGCTAAACTGAGATAAGCCTGGCTTAAACCGAATAGCCTTTTGTACCAGTTTAACTACATCACTTTAGCTAACCTGGTGCTGCTCTGTAGCCCTGAGGCACAGAGACAGGAAGCATCTTGCCCCCAAATTGCATAGGGAGGAGGGCCAGGAGGACAGCCCCGCAGTCTTGACTCCCAATCCTCGCTGACTTGCTACAGGAAGTAGGAAACCTGGAGCATGGTGAGTTCTGTGAACAAGTAACACCTAGTTTCGGATTGCAGTGTATTTTAAACACCTTTAGGAATCAGTCCCCCAAAGGCTGTTTTAGAGGGCTGGGGAGAGGTAAGAGCCATCGGGATTTCCCTGCCATTTTTTATGTGGTGCTCCCTGGAGCTACCAGTGCCTCCGAGTTGCCTGGAGTGGGCCCCTCTGCCCCACTACCAGCCATTGCAGGTGGCAGGGACAGAAGTGGCAAGTTGTACATCGAGTTGCTAAGAGGAGATGTGGCCTTTCTGCCCGGCAGCCAGGATGTTCATAATTCTCTTCTCTCCTAGAGGGGTTATCAGGAAGTAGGCAGACATTTTTACCCTGGGGTCTGCATTTGCGGAGCAGAAGCCATATAGCTGGTCGTCATTTCTGATCGTGAGCCCAAGGATAGACATTTCCAGATGGCTTGGAAGGGATAAATATTGTGTTTTTTTAATAGCACCCTATAACAGAGGGAGAATCATTGTTGCAAAAGTTCACAGTTGACTATAGAACCTACTGCTTGCAGTGTTGTGTAGCTGTGTTGGCCCCCAGATATTAGAGAGACGAGGCTGGTGTGGTAATATCCTTTATTGGACCCACTTCTGTTGATGAGAGAGACCCTTTCAAGCCACAAAGAGCTCTTCTGCAGGTCTGGGAAAGGTATTCCCAGTGTTACAGGTTAATACAAAGTGGAACAGATTGTTTAGCTTTAACACACATTTCAAGGGACCATTCCCGGTGAAGTGCTGACCCTCTTTCCCTGGGGAGACTCTTCCAGAGTCCAATCAACATCGTTAGGACAGTTGTCCTGACTTCCACCCTAAACTTTCCCTTTGATAAACTCATGCTCTCCTCTTGACTCACTGGTACTGCTCCCTGTCAAGTACTTACACTGTGGCTGTTCCCTGCCGCCCCTCTTACTGATCTCTCTGCTGAGTTATTCATACTTAGCTCTTTCAGTGTTTCTGGTTAGGTCAGCAGCCCCTCTGAACCTATCATGCTCTGGGCCCCGTCTATCTTGATCCCCTCCAATTTGTTTTAGCCTCCTGGAATGGGGATGCCCCAAGCTGCATGCCATATTCCACGGGCAGTCCCCATGTGCTGCATAAAGAGGGACATTCCCTCCCTGGTCTGTGATGTTATGCTTGTGTGAATGTAACCTGATATATACTATAAAATATGGTAACATGCATGTATTGGTTTCATGTACTCTTGCATTTCTTTGAGTTAGACCAGCTACACTCTCAGATAAAATTCCCCGATGCTAGCAGGAGCTGTCTAAGAACAGAAAATATACATATGCCATAGAAAATTTACCAGTAGCACTTTTGACGGGACACTGTGCCCTGGCTATTTATTTTCTAGTAAGTGAGATTTTGCGAGCTCGCAAGCGAGCACTGAAGGATGTCAGCAGCATGCTCAGCAGAGCTGACAAGACAGTGACCAGGGCCTCTGCCTTGCCCTGTAGTTCTCTGCCATTTCCTTTCCCAACAGCACCGATTGCCCTGGGGTGGGGGTAAATAGAAAGCATCTCTCTGATGACCTTCCTGTTCCACACAGAGAGGCCTGTTGGGTTTAGAGGGGCTGCGAGGCAGGACTCCATCCTGTTCATGGCTCTGCCGCTCATTGGAAAAGTGACTTGTCCGAGGTGTCACCACTCCTCTGTGCCTCGGTTTCCTCAGATGTGGTGGCAGTTTAATAACATTTGCCATTTTCACGGGGCTGTGATCCCTCAAGAAAAAGTGCTTTTGAGTGCAAAGTACCATTGTTACCAGTTCCTTAAAGGGTGCCGTTAGCTGCCCCAATTCACGGCACGGTGAGAGTACTGAACTGCAGCTGTGTAGCCCCTGGTACCTTGTTAATCAGCACTGATGGGGAAGGAATTCCAGGGAAAGCATGTGGCTAAACTATCTGCTTTGCGTAAGACTCCTCCTCCGCTGCAAGAAATAGTCTATAACAGATCGCCAGAAAACTCTGCTGCCTTTTGCAGTGAAAGAGTCAACAGACAAGGCAGCAGTTGTGTGGTGCCATCGATGGGCTGAAGCATACGAATGCAAGTACATTTTCCTGAAATGGACTCATTTAAATTAGACTGATAAAATGTTGCCAACTGCACTAGACTGAAAAGAAAATGCATTTGGAACCAAAATTCAACTTGTTTGAAATTGGAGCCACCCGTTGAATTCTGTTGGCCTTGAGGTGTGTTTCTTTTTGACAAATCTAACCCTGACCGTAAAAGAACAATCCAGACCTTGCCATTACTTCACTTAAACTTCAGAGCCATGAATGAAACATTAAAGAAACACAGCCGGTTTCAGTGTCACGTTTGAATCCTTAATTGTCATAAGCAAAGAATACTCAGTCTTGAGCTCTTACCAAAAGGGTCCCAGAGAATGAGATTTCTCCTGTTAAGTGAGGGACGAGAGTCTCTGTGTCTAGGGGACGGGTGTGAGGCATGCTTATAATTTGGAATGCTCAATGTTTAAATGAACCATTCTAACTAATTCATTTTTCAATTGCAATAAAAAAAAAAGAACCACAAACTTAGAAACAAGGGATTAAACAGAGCGTCTGGGTGGGTGTTTTGTTCCTATTGATAAAATTCCCCCACTAGAAAGTGATGTTGTGCCTTTAAGGATTAAAAATATTGATGCTGGTCATTTGTTAATAATTCTGTCGGTGACCTCTTTGTGTTTCACCTCTAACCAGGGGAGAACGAGGCTTTAAGCGGTTGTTAACAATTTGTAGTACTGTATCTTTTTAACTATTTGTAGTGTCAAAAGGCCATGTTCTGAAAAGAATGGGTTTCGTGCCACCGTATCACAGAGAGCCAGTCCTGATTTTTACTGAATTTTGGAGAAAAAAAAAAGAATACAAAGGCTGCTCTGGTCTTCGGGATAACTAGACAATGTCTTTTTATTGCACAATAATGACTGATGTTTTGTAAATTCCAATAAGGTACTTCTATTGGAACTCAAACTACTTCTTTAAACTGTTCTGTGTGTACTATGCATTTGTAAGATCTCCTTTCTGTCAGTGAGGTTGATGCTTTGCAACAATTCTTTCTATTGGTCTAAGTGGATTTGTCCTGAGTATAAAGTTTAGAGCATTTTATTCACAGTATTTCTGATTCATTTGTAGTTTGCTCTTTTTTGACAACTTGAGGGTTACTCTTTGTAAAGGACTGAATAAAAATTCCTTCCGTATTGTTTACACTCCATTCATCCTGCTCCTTGGTATATACATTGGCACGTCACTTCATTTCTGTTTCTTCAGGTGCAGGCCAGAGTTTTCTGCATTCTCATAACCCTGCCCCAGTGCAACAGTGGGAAGCAATTCCTGCTCCTGAGGTACTCTTGAAAACCCCACACTTGGAAAGGAACAGCAAAAGTCCCATTCACTTTCCCTAGGACTTGCACTCCCACTTTTGGAAACTCCTACCCTTAAATCATCAAAACTCTGTCCTGGGCCCCTTTCTGCTCTCATTTGCTCCAGGGGGCATGCATGCTCGTCCCAACACAGAACTGAGTGATGTCAAAACCCACAGAACCAGCTGCATTTTGTTTACATCAGTAAGAATTTCTGGGCAGTCGGCTGCAATGTTCCCCCTCTCAATATCACTGTCATGCCTGGGGGTGGGGAATGGCTCCTTGTATTGCTGAGTGCTGGATGTACCAACTTCAATGTGTTTGACTCCCCTCAGGCGGGCTTTGTGCTGGGGAAAGGCACCAGAACCTGAAGTTCCCAGAACAGATACCAAGCAAGCAGCATCTACCTGCCCCAGAGCTGGAGCTTAACTCAACCCTTTCTATCTGTTGATTGCTCTGCAGGAATTGCCAGCAAGTACAATCCCTAGTACCAGTAATGCCTGAGGTTTGTATGAAGGACACACCTGCTCACTAAAAACTGCACTGGTGAGCCAAACTGCGTTTACACAAATCGCTGAACAGCCAGCTGATGGTAATGACTTTCCTCATCCTGGACCATGTGTGAGTCAGTGCCCTTGAGGAGAATGTATGCCCTGTCCAGGGCTCAGCCAGCTAGTCCCCCCTCCCTGCCCTCCTCCACAGACTACAGCTGAGTTTGGAGTAACACCTGAACACTTACGGTTTTTAAGCAATTATCCCTACATGGAGAGCAGACTAGCAGGTCTGGTCTTACAAAGATTTCCCCATTTGTTGTGATTTTTCAAGGCTGGGTTCTCTGTTGACACAGCCTCACGATGGTAGGAGCTTCCCGGAGCAAGTTGGAAAATAATGTCAGATCAGTGCCTAGACTGCCTGACAGACTCACCAGTTTCTGGCCAGATGATCTCCCCTATGTTTTATGGCAGCCTTGTGCAAGATGGAGGAGAATCACCTGCCGCCCTTAGTTATGAAAGCCAGCAGGGTGGACCTGGGGAAACAGTCACTGGTGTGACTGGAATTACAGGCAAATGCTCAGAAACTCCACATCATGCTTGCAGTGCATGAAGGAATGAGCCTGTCCACTTGGACCCACGTGTGCCTTCTATCTGGGTTCTTACATCACACCCATCGTCTTGGTATCCGTGGCACAGTGGAGAGAAGAAAGGGGCTGTCTGCCTCCCTGTGCAAAAGGGAACTGAACTCCAGCTGAGCTTCGGGCAGAGTGTGGCTGAAGGTTCACTGGTGGCTGGAATGACATTGGACAACAGAGCTTAATATCTATTTCGGACAAGCTGCCCTGGGGGACACAGGGCCCTCCTGGAGCCTCGCTCAGCAGCGCTGTCCTGGCTGTGGTATTTGCTTCCCTGCACAGGCACTGGTTTGCAAAGAAACCCAGATCCTCCATCAGCTGCAGTGAGATTCTGGTAAGGCCACAGTTGTCTTTCTCGTGTCCTTGCTGCTCTTCAGTGTCTTTGCACAGCCTTGCGAGGAAGCGGCTCTTTCATGCATGTGCTGGTGCTGCCATCTAGAGGAGCAGAGGTTGCAGAACAGTCCTGGCATTGTCTGCGGACCCCAACAAGGGGGCGGCTTCAGAGAGTAAAAGGGCTTTTGTCTCTCTCCGAGAGGCTACTTGGACACGAGGGAGGAGGCTTCTTTTGGAGCTGGAAGGAAGGCGTGGTGGTGAAGTGAGGCACATCACTTTCCCAGCCCATTAACATAAGCCGTTCCCATTCACTGTCACACATACCTAGTGTGGGTATTGGGGTACATCAGCAGAAACTGGAAGAGCTCCATAAAGCATCTACCAAAGAAGGATCTGACATTCTGTGTCTTTCCTCTCTCTCCCGTAGGAACGTGGGTTCACAGGAAAAGGCAGGAGCAGTGAAAGAACCCTGCTAAAGATGACTACGAAGAAGGCCAGGCCATTCCAAGCAACAGTGAGTGGGCCCCAGGAGACCCGGCCTGTCTGGCATCATTAACAGTACAGGCTCTCTGCTGTGCATCTCACCTAGTAAAGCTTTCACCAGCTTTGTTCCCAAGCCACACTAGGATGGGTTAAAAACAAAACTGTATCAAATTATGGCCATTGGAAAGATGGCTTATAGTTGTCATTCGTTGAGCAAAATTCTGGGATGAGGCAGTGTTCCTGTCCCATCGCTGGGAAAGCATGTCTGTCTTTCTAAAATCCTGTGGCTCTTGGAGCCAGCCTATTGTAAGGGGTCTCCTGGCTTCCTTGTTTTGATCTTTTCTATGGCTTTGCTAATAAGACATAAGAATGATCAAGGCTTATGCTTCCGGGAAGATTCTCCACCAACATGTCCATCTTTGCTGCACTATGGTTGTGACAATCTCCCAAGCAATAAAACCCTCGTCCTCCTCCTTGTCTAAGGATGAAAGGGGGAACACAGACAATAGTGTGGGATATTGTCTCTCTAGGGTTTGCGTGTCTCTCTCGTTTATGGGTCTGCTTAATTGTCTTCCTCTCTTTGTGAAAGGCACTTAGTGGTTCAGTTGCAGACTGGATGGGTAAAACATTTTATAACCCGGAAGGTTAATCATTAACCCTTTCTAAATGCCCCTGAATAAACTTCTTCACACGCTGAGATCTTAGCAGTGATGAGGGCTTTAAAATGACTCTTCTGCCCCTGCTTCCCCACAGGACAACTGCCCGTCTCTGCTCGCTGGCGACTGGGATGAAGTCTCTCTATCTGACAGCTGGGCCAGGAAGCAATGTGACCTTTTGTGACCAGTTGTTCAAACACAAGCTACTACAGGCTCTAATTCCTCTTCATGGGGGAAAAAATGTGAAATGGAAGAGACAGAAATCACTTCCCTCTCTCCGGGGCTCAGCGATGGCCTAGCGTGCAGCTCACCAGACCTGCAGTACAGTGACTTTGGCTGCAGAGGAGTAAAATACAGACATCGAATCTGTAAACTATTCCTGGCCTAGCCCAAGACAGGAGTTGGCATAAAAAATTAGCTTCCCAGGCCGAAAAATTCACACCCTGACCTGCAGCTGACACCCATTGTTCAGGCAAAATAAGCCCTGAGAGCACCAGTGTTTGGGATGTATACACCCAAAGCACTCGTTATCATTAACCTGAGGGAAAAGCCTGTCAGGTAATCCCCAGAAGATAATGTGCTCTTACCCCAGGGAGCAGTCACAGCCCTCAGTTTGCAATCGCAATGAACTCCTCAGCAAGACTTGGCTGTCACCCCCACACTCAGCCGCTGGAGATGAATGCTGACCAAAGCATGACTGCAAATCACTGCACTGAGCTCAAACTGGGAAAGACTTGAAAGTCCAGTTGCCTTTCCAGTACTAGAGATACCCAGGAACCATCTGCCACAATGCCCTGAACAGGACTGCGTAATCCCGGTGAGAGCGCATTTGGGTTTGTGTGTTAGTTACTAGAGAAATACAATTGGGCGGCTGGTAAGACGCATACTAATGCTCAGAGGTCCCAGGTGAAGGTGGTTGGCAATGCCAAGGGCTTTAGAAACATTAATGAATTTTATCACTCTGTCCACCTTGAGGTAGGTGTTTATCTTACTTCTTTCAGGTGGCTGCAGTGATTTGGCCAAGGTCAGGCAACGAGTCCATTAGGAATCCAGGAATATGAGCAATAACTGCTGTTTCATAAGCCTGTGCTGTACCCACTAGACAAGTCTCTCGCTCCCGCAGCCCCAGGAAGGCATGTGCCCGTGCAAAACTGGCAGAAATTACATTTCTCAGATAGCTTCCAATCAGCGAGTGCGGAATGGATCTGGTTTGGCCTGCTCCTGCATGGGTGATTTTCTGGCCATGCACTTACAGACATGCTCTCTCCATTGCCTGGATCATAGAATCATAGAATATCAGGGTTGGAAGGGACTTCAGGAGGTCATCTAGTCCAACCCCCTGCTCAAAGCAGGACCGATCCCCAATTTTTGTCCCAGATCCATAAATGGTCCTCCTCAAGGATTGAACTCACAACCCTGGGTTTAGCAGGCCAATGCTCAAACCACGGAGCTATCCCCGAGGGATACAGGAGTGCTGCCCTTGCCCTCTGCAGCTGTGGTGCAAAGCTCATGCTGCCCCGTGAGTATGAGCCATGGCTGTGTGCTCTTTTGGACACAAAGATTCTTCAGTTCCCCAGCTACCTTCTCCTTGGATTGACCAGTACAGGGGCTCTGGGTCTCTACAAAGTGCCATGGCTGGTCGTCTTTGTTCCTAGCAAATGTATCCATCTTATTAACTTCTGCCCTGAACTAAACACCTCCTGAGCTTTGCCATCCCCTTTTGCTGGATCGGCGGCTGAGCCATGCTGTGCAGTTCTGTGTCTCGGGTCTGTAACTTCAGACAGAGACAGGCGCAGAGAGGACTGAAACAAATCAGCTGTCGTGCCTGAGAAGCCTTTGGCCCGCTCTCATTCCTGACCGTTCGGGGATCAGAAAGGCCCTCATTAGGTATGCAGCCCCGCTGTCTCCGATTCTGCACCTAGGATGTACTGTCTGTAACTGACAATCCCTTCCAGATCCAGTGTAACTTACATCTGGCCATCAGACAAACCTTGCACATAACAGCAAAACTACAGAGGGGCTTAACGGTACTGCAGCTTGCTTACTGGCTTTTCTTTCGTGAATCATAATTAACGTTTATCAAGTGCTGAAAAGGCCTCAAATAGAAGGTGCAGAGGGGAGCAAAGCACTTTGCTAGCATGGCTGGTGGGTGTTGTGCTGCCGAACAAATGGTTCTTGCCACCTCTGGAAGAGGAAGTGGAAGTGAGTAGGGTTTCTGCTAATGTGTGTAACCAAGGAGAAAACTTGGCTC